GTCGTGAGGGGACGGGGTGTGAGGGCAGCCATGAGGGGACGGGGCTGGGAGGAGCCGTGAGGGGACAGGGCGTCACGAAGGGACAGGCTGTGAGGGCAGCCCTGAAGAGAGGGGGCATGAGGGCATCTGTGAGGGTGACGGTGTGTCGTGAGGGGGGGGAAGCAAAGATTCGGGTGCGAGGGAGCACCATGAAGCGCCCGAGCCAGCTTATCTGGGAGAAAGCCGGTGCCAGGGAATGGCCGGCCCACTTGTCCAGGAATGGCGATGCCAGGTGATCCTCCCCAGCCCAGGCTGGGAGGGTCGGTCCAGAACTGTTGGAGCCGGTGTAAAAACACATGGGCAAAAAGTGATCCTAAACAGCACGAGGACGGGGACAGCCATGGAATGTAACTCTCCCAGCTCCCCAGCTGATAAATCTGCCCCAGCTCCTCCTTAAAATGCCCTTTCTGAGCCCCTGATCTTGGGGAATCCTCAGTGTCGGAGCCTGGCGTGCAGGAAGATCCAGCTGTGGATTGAATGCCAGGAATCGAGGGCAGAGCCGGCAGCTGTGAGCCATGGCAGCACCTTGTCTTTGCTGATCCTTTCCTGACCTCTCTGTGAGCTCACCCTCACACAGAAATGGGTCACTCCTTCACCCTCTATGTGTATTTTCCTGGTGAAAATAAAAGCAGGGGAACATCTACAGTGGGTGACACCCCAGGTCTATCAAGCAGAAACGAGGAGAGACCCAGGAGGAAGAGGGAGAGGATGGGGTAGGGTTTCCTTTTACGCTCCCAGCTTCTGGGCAAGGATTCTGGAGCCAAAGGTTGTGCCCTTTGCTTCTTGCTTAGAGAGCTGGGAGTATGTCCCATCTCTTTTTTGAACTGTTGTGTTCATTTGGTCTCCATAGTTTCCTGAGGCTTTAGGAATGTGTTGTGTGGAAAAAAAATATTTCCTTTTTATTTGTTATGGCACACACTACCCTCAGCTGTGTGTTCAGAGAAATGGGAAGAATTTTTCACTTTCCACTTTCTCCAGGGTGCTCATGATTTGTCCACCTGCCATCCAGGAAAGCCCATCATCTCAGAAAAACAGGATATTTGTTTTTCAGTTAGATTTTGGGGAGAAGCAGCCTTTTTCTCCTGTCCTAAGCAAACACAGGATGTGTGCTGTTTCATTTCAATACACAGTGCTGGAGATGCATTAACATTTAAATTGCATTTAAGATCTGAAAAGGAAAACAATCATTGCTGAAGAGCCTTGTAATACAGCTGGGAACTGGATCATCCTCTGGGATCCAAAGCTTGCATCGCTGCAGCCAGGCATGGCAGGATCTGTGTTGGGGCACTGTTGATTTTAACAAGTGCAGACATGCTTGGCTGTCTTTTCAGCTTTTCCTCTGCAAATAGTAACAGTTTGTTTGTTTTTTGAGGTATTTACTGGCTCAGGCAACTCCCGTTTGTCAAAGATGCAGCGAGATTGTGTTTCATCGGTGAAAAATGTGGGGCCTGATAAATCATTCTTCTGCACAGTGAATGGCTTGTAGAGAAAGGGGGTTTTGTGGCCAGGAGCCAAGGGAGGGTGGGGGCAGTTTGCAGAGTCTTGAAACCATAGAATCCTGGAATGGTTTGGGTTGGTAGGGACCCCAAAGGTCACACAGTTCCACCCTCCTGTAGGGACACCTTCCCCTATCCCAGGTTGCTCTGAGCCCTGTCCAACCTGCCCTTGGACACTTCCAGGGATCCAGGGGCAGCCACCTCTTCTCTGGACAACCTGTGCCAGGGCCTCCCCACCCTCACAGCCAACAATTCCTTCCCAATATCCCATTTAACCCTGCTTTCTGGCAGTGGGAAGCTATTCCCCCTTGTCCTGGGATACTAGGAAGAAATTCTTGGCTTTGAGGGTGGGGAGGCCCTGGCACAGGTTGCCCAGAGAAGCTGTGGCTGCCCCTGGATCCCTGGCAGTGTCCAAGGCCAGGTTGGACGGGGCTTGGAGCAACCTGGGATAGAGGAAGGTGTCCCTGCGCATGGCAGGGGGCTGGAAGTGGATGATCTTTGGGGTCTCTTCCAACCCAAACCATTCTGGGATTCCATGAACACATGAGGTGGATTGAGAGGAGGTGAAAGAAGCAGGAATAAAAATTCTCCTAGTTGACCCACCCAGACTGTGACAATAAACGTGGTGAAGCTGAGGCCATGTGCTTCAGGGAAGCTCTTGCTTTCTGCCAAATGTGTGTTTGCCTGCTGCTGGCTCTTGCCCCGTGTGATTTCCATGGAGAGCTGCTTTTCACTCAAAGCTGCTTTTCACTGTGGTGCCCTCAAAGGCCGATCCTCACAGCGACTGGCAGTGCCAGAACAGCCGTGGGCACAGCGATGAATTTGTTATCTGAGGCACTTGCTGCAGCCAAGCTGACTTACTGCCCATGGCCAGTTCCTAAAACGAGTACACACAGGCTGAGCTGTAGCTGAGCTGGTGCTTCACACCGTGCTGTGCTTGTAGAAAGGGTTCAGCTTAAGGAATTGTGACCTGCAGGCAAAACCCCTGTCCCCTGCACCTTTACCCCCTGCAGGAGCTGATCTGTCCATCCCCTGTGTGTGTTACAGCAACTCAAACACCCCAACCTGGTGAACCTGCTGGAGGTGTTCAGGAGGAAGCGGAAGCTGCACCTGGTGTTCGAGTACTGCGACCACACTGTTCTCCACGAGCTGGACAGGCACCCCCGGGGGTGAGTGGCCCATGTCCCCCCGGGAGCTTTGAGTGCAGGAGTCGGAGCGTCCGTGTCGTTGCTTCCCTGCGGATTTTCAGAGGAATTTCGTTAATTACGGGAGAGGTTTCTCAGCCCCGTGCCCAGCACTTGCTCTGTTGCTGTGGTTTAGCACTGACATCCCCAGGATTGGTGTGTGAGCCCGTGTGTGTGTCCCTGTGCAGAGCTGCTCTCCACGGAGACGGGAGCGCTGAGCCGAGGATTTGGGTGAGCTCTGGCTGGCTGGGGAGCAGCAAACCTGTGTCACTGCAGGGGTGTGCTGGGGGCCCCCAGCCCTCCTTCCACTGCTCCCCAGCTGTGCTGCACATCACTGCCCACTGGGGCACATCACACACAGAGCACCCAAATACGGAATCACAGACTCGTGGAGTTGTTCAGGCTGGAAAAGCCTCTGAGACCATCGAGTCCAACTAATCCAGGACTGCCAAGCCCACCACTCTAAACCATATCCCCAAGTGCCACATTTACATGGCTTTTGGACGCTCAGGGGGACGTGTGGGTTGGCAGGAATTCCCAGGAGCTGTGCCTGCACCTCCCTGCACAGCCCCAGTGAACTCCCTCCCCACACAGGCGCTTGCACAGGGTGTGAGCTCCACACGGGGTCTGTTCTTTCACACAGTGTAAGTGACACTCCCACTACACACATTGTCCCTAATTCCCCACGGTGACCTGGTGCTGTGGAAATGCTGAGCAGGAGTTCATAAATCATTTTACAGGCCTGGAGCTAAATGAGCTGCCTGCAGGGGACTGACTGGGGGTTGAGTAAACAAGAGCCTGTTGCTGCCTTTGTCCCCGATGTGGAGCTGGAGGAGAATGGAGCATGGTGACAGCACATGGCTTTGTGAGCTGGTGAGCAGCTGCCACCCCAGTTTGAACCAGTTCACCTGGAATCTGAAGGAGAGGATGGATAACCCTCCTTGAGGAAAATACTTCACATTTGCTTTCTGTTCATCCAAACGACTCCAGTGTGGATGAACATGTAACACAGGCTGCATACTTGGCTTCCTGTCTTTGCAGATGGTCTTTTGTGGTCAGGTTAAGGTGGGTGGGCACACGCTGTTTCCAGGCCATTTGACCAACTCCATCCCATTGTCAGGCTGTCAGTGGAGCACTCCCATCATTCTGGGATGTTTCTGGAAGGAATCTCTGGCATTGCCACAGCAATGTCAGCACAAGACCCTCAGCACAAAGTGCCTTAGAGAAAAACCCAGGCTTGTATTGATTTGGTTTAGTTTTTTTCTTTGTAATGAATCGGAAACTTTTCAACACTGAACACGTGAAATAAAATGGTATTTGAGATTGAAAGTGCCACGATTGTCACCTCTGCCTTTCCTGGGGTTGTCAAAGATCCTTGCAGGCAGCCAAGGAAGTTTAAGAACTGTTGCCCAGTAACTGAAGGAGAGGAGGGTGGGCTGGGAAGTGTTTGCCAGCTTTGGGAGTGAAGAGGTGGGATCCAAACCAAAGCAGAGCTTTATACTCTTGTAGGAACATGCTTCCTCCCCTTATTTTGTCACCTCCCTGGGCAATCAGTGCCATGACAGCATTGCACAGCTGTATCTATACCATGGGTTCTCCAGCAGTTCCAACCCTGAGCAGTTATAGAGGCAGAAATGCCTGCTGGCATTTTGGGATTGCCAGGAAATGTGGATGCTGAACGCAGCCACGGGACAGGACCTGACGTTGCTGTGGTCACCAGTGGCAGGCCTGGCTGTGACAGTGGTCCCAGACACTCTGTCACACTCTTAACTGCAATAAACCCTTGTGTCTTGTTGCACTGACTGGATCTGGAAGTGTTTTCTGATTCCCCTGATGATTTTGCTCAGAGATGCCTGTACAATGTCAGCACTCAAAGGCCTCCCCTTCCTATTCCCTGTAACGCTGAAGTGATTTTGAATGTCCAAAACACAACTGTGTTTTTCAAACAGGGTGCCAGAGTACCTGGTGAAGAGCATAACCTGGCAGACCCTCCAGGCCGTGAACTTCTGCCATAAACACAACGTGAGTGCCCTGAACAGCACCAACAATTGCTGGGACGTGGCCTTGGGCAAGAGGGGGGTTCTGTTGGCACTTCCCTGATTACAGAGCTTTCGTGGAATGCAGTCAGGTGGAATTTCCTGTTTTCAACAGCAAACACATCTGAAACGTCAGTGTATGCCCACAACAGCTGCATTTACTGTCACACAGGCCCCTTGGGTTGGCTGTCAGGGAATGATTTGCTCTAATGACCTTAGACAAGCTTCCAGGTGGAACAGGAATGTATCCCTGTGTATTCCTGTGCTGTGCATTACAGCTGATGCCCAGGAAACTGCCTTCCCAGCTCCTCACCTGAGAGCTCAGCAAACTGCTGCTGATTTATCAGAGAGTCCTGCTGCTGACAGTCACAGGCCTTGAATCATGGCACCAGTTAAAAGATTTCAAAACTCAGACACAACAAACCCCTTTTACAACCCCTGCTCTGCTTTCTGGAGGGAGACACGAGTTGTGTGCGTTTCAGTGGGAACACTTTGGGAAGCAGGAAAGGAGAAGGAGCCCTTTGGAGAAGTCCTTTAAGCAAACTTAGCTGTAATTGACTTTGCTTTTGTTCATCTGCCAATGTTTGAGATTTATGAGTGGGGCAGGAGATGGCCCTGGGATGGGTGCTTTGTCTTTGCTGGGAGAATTATGTCCAGTTGAGCCACAGGAACTTGGCCACAGCTCTCTCCTGCTTCCAAGATTTGTTGGTTTGCGTCTTTTTTCCGTTCCCCTCAAAGATTTAATGGAGTTTTAGAGCAGAGGGAACAATGAGATGCTGCAGCCTGACCTGCTGTAGATCACAGGTAATGAGGTTTTATGCAGCTGCCCTTTTTGGAACTCCATGACAGTGGTTTAAATAAGCAGCACTTCAGTCCTCAGGAGGAGACACAGTAATTTACCACCAGCTTAGGGAGGAAAGTCTGAGGTGTTTGTGCTGAGGTGATGGTGTGGGAGGGATGACATGAGCGAGACCCTGGTGAGTTGAGCAGAGCAAAAGAAATGAAGGTCTCTGTTAGTTTGATCAGCAGAAATTCTTTGCCAAGCCCAAATTCAGTTGTTGTGAAGGTCAAGGTCACCTCCTAAGAATCACAGAATTGCCAGTGTTGGAAGGGAAATCATCTTGTCCAGCCCTCACACTCAAGCAGGCTCAGCTAGAGCAGGCCGCTCAGAAACTTTTCCAGTCAGGGGTTGAACATTTCCAAGGCTTGAGGCTTCCCAGACTCCCTGGACAACCTGTTTGGGTGTCAGGCCACCCTCTCAGTTAAAAAAGATAAATTGCTTAGATTTAAGTGGCGTTTCCTGTGTGCTCAGTTTGTGCCCATTGCCTGTCTGGTGCCACTGGCACCACCAAGGAGAGCCTGGATTGGTCTCCTTTACTTTTCCCATCAGGTATTTATCCACAGAAGCTGAGGATCCCAGAGCTGGACAGAGAGCTCTGGATGTGTCTCACCTGTGCTGAGCAGATCACTGAGCAGAGATCATCAGCACAGGTGAGACCGAGCTCTTGCTGAGCTTTGTGAACAGAATCACCTGCCAGGAGCTTCCCAGCTGGTTCTGGGAGCTGACTCCGTGTTGCCCAGGTGACCCAGAGCTGTGCAGCTCAAGCTGGGAGCTGCACAGAGTCTCACCCTGGGTGAGGGTGGGCTGTGGGCAGGTAATTGTCCTGTCTGACGGGACCTGGATTTAGCAGCTGCTCAGAAATCCTTCCATCTCCTTCAGCAGGAATGATTGCCTGGCACAATGTGCAGAGGGCGTGTGGATGAATTAAGAGGGTCTTTGTATGAGGGCCAGGTTAAATACGTGCTTCTAACCTTCTCTTTTTTCTGTTTGCAGTGCATCCACCGAGATGTAAAGCCAGAAAACATCCTGATAACGAAGCACTCCGTCATCAAACTCTGTGACTTCGGATTTGCCCGAATACTGAGTGAGTGCTGCTGCACACACGATGTGTTAACTCGGGAAAGCTCCACTGAAGGGGAGGATCAGCCTTTCAAACACTCACTTGTCTTTGCTTGATGCATCTGCAAAGCATCCTATATAAAAGGCTGTTGTGTTTTCCCAGGGAAGCTCCACAAGAGGCTGGGTAGAGATCCCAAACCTTAAAGGAAGGAGTCCAGACACCGCAGTGATGGGGATCTGTGAACAGCCTGAGCTCCCTGCTGGGGCGGCTGAGCTGTTGGGGGTGCTGGCACTGGCACATGGAAGTCAGCCTTGGGCATCTTGGAGCTGCCCAGCCCTTGTTTATGCAATGCTGGAGACACAGCTGGAGTTCCCTGGCAGCCAGACCCCTCCGGCTGCCTCTGCAAACAATGGCTTCACATTTCCCTTGTAAATAAACCCCCTAATCTGGTTTATTTTAGCTCCTGTTCTGACAAATCACGTGGGCTCTGGGAACTGCCCACTGGCTGGTGTGGGGCCCTGCTGTGAGCTCTGCACATTTTCATTTGGAGAAAAACACGGTCCTGATTTTTGCCAGATCCCAAGTGTTTCCAAAGTAGGGTCCTGTTGTGGCCAGTGACTCACCCCCTTCCTGCAGCCACCGCCTGCCCAGGGGGTGCCCCAACATGTGCAACCACTGATGACGGGCCCGTCTGCATCTCCCTGATCCCACATTCCTGCTTGTTTCTCTCCTCCCTGACCCCAACCCAGCCGGTCCCAGTGACTCCTACACGGACTACGTGGCCACCCGGTGGTACCGCTCCCCGGAGCTGCTGGTGGGGGACACCCAGTACGGGCCCCCCGTGGACGTCTGGGCCATCGGCTGCGTTTTCGCCGAGCTGCTCTCGGGGGTCCCGCTGTGGCCTGGGAAGTCTGACGTGGACCAGCTCTACCTCATCCGGAGAACCCTGGGTGAGTGTCCCCCGGTGCCCTTGGCAGGACTAGAGCTTTCCTCTGTCGTGGGAATCAGGAGTAGCCAAGAGGTGAATTTGCCCCGTGGATCTCTCCCTGTGGCAGATGTTGGCTTATTTGAGGTGTTCCTGTCCTTAAAAGGGAGCTGGGTTTTCCTGGCTCCCAAAGGACGGGGCTGTGGAAGCAGGATCATTGCCTGCAGACTGCCTGGAACCATCCCTCTACTCTCTTTAGCCTCTGGGAAGCTGAATCTGGTGCTGGGCAGATTAGGAAAGATGTGGGATGTGTTAGGTGACCACCGGACCTCCTGGTCCCTTGGGGTGGCTCAGTGACTGCTGAGGTGTCCCTTGGGTTGGGACAGCACAGGAACACCTGCCTCTCCTGCTGTGCTTCCCACATCTTCACCTGTTGTTTCCAGACAGGGAAATGAGGCACCTGTATCAGAAAGGAATGTTTTGCATAAAGGTTTGAAAGATCCAGGTATTTTTCAGGGTTTGCTATCAAGCAAAGTGGTCAATGAATAGTTGGATTAAGTTCATCCCAGCTTTGGAGGTCTCATAAGCGTGGCCAGTGCCTGTGGATGTCTCTGTGCCTGGGAATGGGAGTGTGAAAATGTTCACACTTGGTCACTAAAATGTTCACAACTTGTCTGTTCCACGTGTTTGTCTTTATTCATCAAGGAATTTTAGGAGCCACTCCAGATTCATTTGTTAAATAAAGACCCACTGTCCCCATAACACTCAAATTAATCCAGTCTCATTGATTCTCTTTGATCTGGCTGTGTAACATCTGATTTCTTGCCTGGCAACGAACAACCCCCCACTTTTAATTGAAATTTGTTGGAATGGACTGAGAGTTGTAATTTTTACTGAGCAGTTTATAAAACTAATGGCTTTAAACAGATAAGCTCCTTAGCTAGAAAAATAGTTCCTCCAGAATCCATTAAAGCCACTGTTAGGCAGTTGTAATTTATTTTTAATGACAGGGTTTCAGCCAGAAGAGATTCCCGTTGGATCCAGGTGCTGGACTGAGCAAAGCTCCTTGGTGGAAGCTGTGCCATTGGCATTTTACTGGCTCTTTGTTATGGGTTTGATTTTAGCATTTTCCTTGCTCTGAGCTGCTCTGAGCTTCAAAACAGCTGCCCTGGGGAAAAGCTGCAACGTGTTCCTGGTGGAGCTGCACTTCAGCTCTTTTCCATACAACATGCTCAGGAGTGTCCAAAGAGAATGTCACCAATATGTGTTATATTTTCCTGAAGCTGGAACACTTGTGGCCCTGCCTTTCCCTCAGCACAGTCCCACAGGTGTGGGATCACTGATGGCCCCAATGGACATCAGTTGTCACAGAAGAACATTTCCTCAGCTCACCTGGTGACATTCCATCTCTTTGGATGTTCTCTTGCATGGGATCAGCTTTGTTAGAGGATACAACCTTGTGCTAGAAAAACAGCAAATTAATCCAAATTTCTTTTTACTCTTGGTCGAAGGGGATCTCATTCCCAGGCACCAGCAAGTGTTCAGCACCAACCAGTTCTTCAGCGGGGTAAGAATTCCAGACCCGGAGAGCATGGTAAGAGCTGCCTCCAGATGCAATTCCCTTGAGCCTGCTGCTGACCAGTCTCTCTTCCACTCTGATCCACTCTGCAGTGCTAAGGAGGCAGGGGGTTTGGGCAGGGAAATGTTCCTGCTTCTTTTTGCCCACGTGCTGCCAGCTTTGGAAGTGGAGCTGGAAAAGCCTCGCTCGGCTTGACCAGCCCTTTGCTGCGCAGCGTTTCGTCCCAGTCCAAAAGCTTTGCCCTTTCCTTTGCCAGTGTGCACCAGGATACTGCTTGGAGGTGGCTGAACCCGTCTCATGACATTTTAACTACTACACTACATAAAAACAGTCAAAAGATTATTGATCTCCACCCCTTCCCCCCATTCCTGGTGGCACATCCTCAGTAGTGCCAGGCCTGCAAGCTCTCGGAGTGAGGGAGGCATTTTGTGAGGAATGGGTCACGTTGCTATGGGAAGCTGGGTCTCTGTCCCCTGATAAATGGACAGGTTGCTCATATGAGTACACTCACTGGTTTTTTTCCCTCCAGGAGCCATTGGAAGTGAAATTCCCCAATATTTCATACTCTGCTCTGTCTCTCATGAAGGTAAGAAAACTCCAGCCCTGCACTGAGATGAGCAAGGGGGGTCTGTGTCACTTAGCAGTAAATGGTGTCAGCTGGGGGCTGAGTTATCAGAGATTCATTGAGAAATAGAGCTGGTTTCCTCCCCTGTTCCTCAAGCCACAATTCCTCCTACAGCTGTGGACTCCCCATCCCTAGAAGTGTCCAAGGCCAGGTTGGACAGGGCTTGGAGCAACCTGGGCTAGTGGAAGTTGTCCTTGCCCATGGCAGGGGGTTGGAATGAGATGGGCTTTGAGGTCCCTTCCAACCCAAACCATTCCATGATTCCTTGATGAATTGCTGCAATCGTTGGGTATCAGCTGTTCCTCAAGCTTCCTGCTGACTGAAAAGCCACTTTTATAATACATTAAAAAATTATTAACACACGTACCTGCGGGAATACTCGTTGGCTGTGGGGAGGGCCTGGAATTGTGCAGATCCTTCATCTTTTCTAGGCATGCCTTCGGATGGACCCTGCGGAGAGGCAAACCTGTGAGCAGCTGCTGCAGCATCCCTACTTTGACAGCTTCAGGGAGGCAGTGGATCTGGGGAAAGAACGGGAAAAAACAGCTCGGAAACCAGCTAGGCTGACTCGGAAGCACATGCCAGGGGTAACTTTTCCACAGTATTTCATGTTCTTTTGTTGGCTCCCAGGAGCTGGGCTGTGCTGGCAGTTAGGAGAGTTTTATCCTGAGGAGGAAACAAACCTCCTGGCTAAATCCATCCAAACTGGATACTGCAGTGCAGCTCCACGGGGCACTGGGGATAAGCAGCACAGCCCCGTGAACCATCAGAGTTAGCCAGGAATGTGCATTCCTGACAAAGAGTAGCAGGAGAGCTGAACAAACTGGACACACTCGTGTGGCTGGTTCAATTTGGGATCCTTTTGGTGCTTTTGAATCCCAAATTACGGAGATGGAAAAAATGCCCAGTTCTGTTTGTAACTGGTGATGGGACGTGATCCCATACTCAGTTCCACCTTACACCACACACTGGGTGTTTCTGCAGCTGGAGTTGCCAGGCAAATTCCCTGCTGCTTCAGCCTTTCTGGACTCCATCCCAAGTCCCCAGATCCAGCCTCACAATGTGAGTCATTCCGCAGTTTTTATGCCCAAGAGCCACGTTCCCCACAGCAGCTGTAAGGCTGAGCTGGTAACAGACAGGGAAGTTGGAGGTGAGGGAGAACTGCTACAGCCTGTAAATTCCTGGATCACACTGAGTCACCTCTTCCATTTCTATGCCATAGGATATAACAGGAATGTTTTTCTTACCCTGGACGACTGGAAGAAATCCCTTTAATGAGTTGATCTTGTTGCAGTCCAGTCACAGAACCATGACTCTTAGTATGAGAAGTACAGGATTTCAGTAGGAATAGTGACATTTTTCCATGTGAAAAAGGAAACGTGTGCTTTATTCTCATTCCAGACAAACACACTCCGTGTAACTTTTCCTTTAGTTACAGCACCTGCCCCAGCTGACCAGCAGTAACGTTCTCCCAGCTTTGGACAGCAAGAAGCACTGCTGCAAGACAAGGAAATCCAACTACCACTTCCCAAACATCTGACCAGATTCAGACCTGATTGTTCAAAGTTCAAGGATAAATTCGGGATTTATAAAGGGAGGATACACAGTGGAAAACTAAATTACTAAATGCTGTGACATGTACAAAGCGAGTCCAGCCTGATGAGAGGCTGCCTCACTGCTCCAGGTAGTTCCCAGCCTGCTGCAGGGATACACCTGCCTTACTACTGCACTTAGAGATCACAGAGTATTAAAACTACTGGTGGTGGCTTCACAGTCTCAACAGGCACCACTCCCAGGAGAACAGAGCAACCATAACCTCTGGTTTCTTTACTCTTTTCAGAGTTTCTCCTGAGTGTTTCATCCGTTGATTGCTCTTCTTTGCTCTTTCTGACAATAGTGAAGCCACTTGCTTGTAGTTACAGGAATTGTTTTGATCACAACTAATCATGAACTTAATTTATAACAGTGGCCAGACACAGGTAGGAATCCTACCTCAGTGTTTGTATTAAGAGTGACTCGGGTTTGTGGAATCTCAGGATGTAATATTGGGTTGATTTTGAATAAAAGAAATGTAGCTTGTTTTTCCAATCTACTGGATTTATTTTTTTTTTACTTGAAACCAAGAGCAAAAATGTTTTGTTTTCCCAGTACCTTCTGTGTTCCACAACAGTCAAAGCCATTTCAGTGGGACAGATCCCACATCCTCAGATGGTACCTGTTGGCCTTTTGTTTCCTTGCACAGGGAGATCCACGTCTGAGACAGCACTGTGGATCTGCTTTCTTGGAGTCGCTGCCTCCTGCCCTTCCCTACCACCCAAGACAGGAATTTGGCTAAAAATGCTGTGTTCTCCCTGAGGATGAGTCCTTCCCCCTGTGCTGGCACAACTGAGGCACTTCCATTCCTGGGGGCAGTTTTGGGCCCCTCACAAGGACATGGAAAGGCTGGAGCGTGTGCAGGGAAGGGAAGGGAGCTGGGAAGGGGCTGGAGCAGCAGGAGCAGCTGAGGGAGCTGGGGGGGGCTCAGCCTGGAGCAAAGGAGGCTCAGGGGGGACCTTCTGGCTCTGCAATTCCCTGATAGGAGGGGGGAGCCGGGGGGATCGGGCTCTGCTCCCAGGGAACAAGGGACAGGAGGAGAGGAAATGGCCTTAAAATGCACCAGGGGAGGTTCAGGTTGGATATTAAATTCCTTCATGGAAAGGGTTGTCCAGCCCTGGCACAGCTCCTCAGGGCAGTGCTGGAGTCCCCATCCCTGGAGGGATTTAAAAGCCATGTGGATGTGGCACCTGAGGATGTGGGTCAGTGGTGGCCTTGGCAGTGCTGGGGGAAGGGTTGGACCTGATGGTCTTGGAGGCCTTTCCAACCCTAATGATGCTGTGATTCTCCTACTTATCAGCAGTGATGAGGATGCAGCTACAGAGCTGCACAGAACTCATTCAGTCCATGTCAGCACACGGCAAAAATGTGCAGGAGGGTGGATCCAAGAGCCACTGCTCTGCCACAGACAGCCGTGCTCCATTCAGTGTTCCTGAGGAGGTGACCCTGCCTGCCTGCAGATGACTCCATTGCAACCTCACAACAGAAGCCAAAGCGTGAAGAACACAAAAAAAGGCCCATGAGCTGTTTTATTAAATCAGCTCCCACCGACTGGGCGGGGTTCTCTGAGGGTGAACAGCCCTTGCTCCCACAGCACCAACACCGACCGCGCCCAGCGCTGCGGCTCCGCTCCCCACTGCCACTTAATAAATCCGTGCAATAAAACAGCTGAACACTTCTCACTGAGGTATTAACAGCTCCCTATGAACACAGCACACGTGACTCTGTACAGGAGCCTGCCTTCTCTGCTGCTATCCACCATTTAGTTTAAGCTTAACAAAACTTCAGTGTATAATTTCTGAAAAGGTCACATACAGCTTTTTGAGGCTGCACTGGGAGAGCTGGGCTTATTTTCACACCTGGAAATACAGCAGCATCTAAAGTTAATTTATGCAATATATGATAAATACTAGGAAGTCACATCTCAGTCGTGTGCTGTCGTGTTTATTCCAAGTCCAGCTCCAGCTCCAGCTTTGGCAGCGCCTGCTGAAGGGCGTGAAAGGTGGTTTCTTTCTCTCTGATTCCAGGAAGGTCACTCAGATACAAATACTCAAGGTTCCTGTAAATATTTAAAAAGAAAATCAGCAACTACTGTTTAACTGCTGACAAAGAAATTAGAGAAAAGATCATTCCACTGTAATTATTTTAAATGTTGACTGGTTATGATAGAAGCTTTTTATGAAGTGGGTGCTTGAGGTTTTTAGCTGCAGAGGGGCAGTATCCAAGTGCATCCCATGCCCAAGGACTCAGGTCTGCCCTGAGACCTCAAGGCATGAGAGGATGTGGTGACAGGGAGCAGCCCCACACATCTGGAACAGCCAGACTCCAGCTCCTCCACCCAACACAATCCCAGAACAGCCTGGGACAAGGGTGCCGTGGAAGCGCTCAGGGGCTCACGTACGTCAGCTTGTGAAGGGCAAGGATGCCTTTGTCTGTGACATTCCCACAGGAGATGATCTTCAGCTGGAGGAGACTCTTCTGCAGGTTGTTTGTCTCGCTGAGCCTCTGCAGACACTCGTCCTGTATGTACATGCACTTCTCCAGCCTGATGTCCGTGACGTGCTCCAGACCATCTGGAAAGATAAAAGCAAGGATTTGCTTCAGAGTGCCAGGACCATCCTGTGCTGGTTGTTAAGTTCTGCCTCCAAACCCACCCAGCAACAAGTTCCTGTTCCATGGGGCCATAACACACAATGAATCTCCAAAGTCCCTTTGTGGTACTTCAAATAAATGAAAACCCTTTTGGGTAAGATTTGAAGAGCTTTGGCATGGGCCTGTCACAAAAAACCTACAAGTTTGGGTGATAAACAAGGACTGACACAGAAATGTGCTAATGCAGGAAATTCAAGGTCCCCTGCTATGAAAAAATAATAATAACAGTAACTCTTGCCTATTTTGGTTTCTGCTGTTTAAAGGAGACCTGAAACACCTTTTTAATCTTTTGTAAGAAACCAAGTGTTTGCTTTTTGTCTTTGAAGACGTCATAAATACCTCGAGAACAAGCAGAATTATGACTTCAGAGGCACCAAAATCATGGCTTGGTGTAGAAGAAAAAGAATATTTACAGTGCTTTTTGCTTCCAGCTCATCAAAATTCGTGGCACTTCCTTAGTGCTACGGACATTTCAGGCAAGGGCTGATGAAGCTCCCAATCACACACCTCCAGCAAAACCTTAGGAACTCACAAAGCCATTTTAAGGGAAAAAAAAAAACCACGAGAGATTGCTTAGTATGTTGCTAAGGAATGAGACAATGACACAACTGAAATCAAGACCATTAAGAACAATCTGACGTTACCCAGATAGTCAAATCCTCTGTACATGATGCAGGAGTCGATGGCATTGATTGCTTCTATCTTGTACTTGCCCAGGGGCCCCGTGGGGAGCCCGTTGTAGTCCTGCTGCCACTTTGGGGAGCCCTGGAACCGCACCAAGGCCCCGCAGCGCAGGAGCCACTCCGAGGCCGCCCGGTCGGGGCCCACGGCTTGGATCCGCTCATAGTCCACCCTGCCACGACACAAAGAGCATCCACGGGGTGGAAAAGTTATTCCCTTGGCAGCTGAAAAGCTCCACGGCAAATATCTGCTCATGTGGGTGGTAAGGTATCAGAAAACTAAGGATGTGATTTACTGCACGTGGTTTGCGTGTCATCTTTCGGACTGTGAGGTTCTTAGTCTGGCAGGAGGGGTTTTTCTAACTTGTTTTAAATGGCAGATGCTTTTGGTAAAAAAAAGAATGCAAATGCAACTGGACTTAACCTTCCTGATTGTTCCTTTCCATGTCTGTAGGGAGAGAGAAAAAAAACCCGCCTTTTTCTTCCCAGAGGCTTTACAACTGCTAATTTCTCTCTCAAACACTGATTATATAGAAACATCTTGAAACCTGTCACAAGTATGTCATTCCTAAATCCTTTTCATAGAATCATGTTGTTAGTTGTTAAGGCTGGGAAAGGCCTTTAAGATCATTAAGTCCAACCACCAACCCAGCACCACCACCACGTTCCCCACTAAACCATGTCCTCAAGTGCCACATCCACACATTTCCTGAAAACTTCCAGGGATGGTGACTCCACCACTGCCTTGGGCAGCCTGTTTTTTCTCAACAGTTACAGTATTTCATAAAAAACACATGTCAGCAATAGTTAAACTTCTTGGGTCCATTCTGGAAAAGGATGCATTTCTTAGTCTGGACAGGAATGATGAAGGACGAGACCTGGAAGAGGCTCCCGTCTGGTTTAGTTTCAGTAATCAGCTACACCACACAACCCTTCCCACACAGCCAGAAGACATAAGGCAAAACTATTAGCTCCTGGCAAAAGTTATGGGCAGAGAAAGTTTCACAGAGAAGGGTTTTCCCTTCTAAAAGTAAATCTGAAACCCTCCTGTGGCTGAATCACTTCGTAAGTGATGGGTTGGTTTGATGCTGTTCTGAATAAGTAAAGGGGCTTGGTTGTGCTACAGGTTTAAATGAGTTTTGGGGTCAAAGAAGAGCAGGACTTAGGGACAGAATCCATGTGGCCACTCCATGGAGGGGGCAGAGCACAGACCTTCCTCTGGAGGGTCACAGCTTGGGATGGGAAGCAGGTACGGAACGCCCCCTGCCAAGCACCGACACGCAATCTGCAGGGAAAGAAGAGCATTAAGTTCTCTGCAGCCCAGGGATTTGATTCTTCTCTTCCACAAACCGCGCTGTGGACCCGCGGGACCCGATAACTGATTATTGCCCAGCGACTCACTCTTACTTGTTGAACACGGCGTTCAGCCATCCCCAGAACCCTCTGCAGCTGCCCGGCGGCGACGGCGGCTTCCTCACGAGCCTCCCCAACACCATCATCACCTCCTTGGAGAAGAGAAAGAGAAAAGAGAGATATTATTTGGAGCGTCCGCAGCAGCAGCAGCACAGGGGGGGCCAGGGCCCCCCTCCAGGCCTGACCGGGGCTGTCCTCCCGGCGGGACCCGCGGCTGCCGGCGGGGGTCTGTCACCGCCCCCGGGCTGCCCCGAGGGCCGAACCTTGGCCGGCTCTGCCCTGCCCGGCCCGGCGGAGCGGCTGTGGAGGCGGAGGAGGAGGAGGAGGAGGACGCGGACTCGGCGGACGCGGCCGGGCGGTCTCTCCGCCCCCAAGATGGCGGCGGCGCTGAGGGGCCGCGCGGGCCCGGGCGGGGCCCCGGCGCTGTGGCGGGTCCAGAGCCGGGGGAGGAGGTGAGACCGGGGGGAGCGGGACGGACCGCCCCGGACCGCGTCCTGCCCCTTCCTTTATCCATTTCCCTTATCCCTTGCCTTTTCCCTTTTCCCTTTCCGCTTCCCCTCTCCCCTCCCCTCCCCTTTCTTCCCTCTCCTCTCTCCCCTATATCGCCTTACCCTATCTCCTATATATATATATCCCTTCTCCTCTTCCTCTATATCCTCTATCCCCTATATCCTTTCTCCCCTCACTCTATCCCCTATATCCCCTATCCCCTTTCCCTATTCCTATCCCCTCTCTCTATCCTCTTCCCCTTCTCCTATCCCCTCTCCCATTCCCTTACTTTCTATCCTTTTCCCCTTTCCTCTGTCCCTATACTCCCTGTATTCTGTATATTTCCTACATCCCCTGTCCCCTATATCCCCTATCCCCTATATCCATCCTCTTCCCCTTCTCTTATCCCCTATCCCATTTCCCTACTCCCTACCTTTTTCCCCTGTCCCCTATTCCCTATATCCTGCATATTCCCTATATCCCCTATCCCTGTCCTCTTCCCCTTCT